GCCTTTTGGGCTTGATTGCTCAGCAGAAGAAAATTTGGAGCAACTTTTTGCACCAGCTGTTTAAGTCCAACTTTTGATCCGTTAACCAACCGAAACTCACCCGAATCCCTCGAAACCTCAACTAAATACACCAACAAGTTTTAAAACATTATACGAACTTATTCGAAACCTCAAATCACATCAAACAACGCTAAAATCACAATCACACCCCAATTCAAGCTTAATGAAACTTAAGAATTTCCAACTTCTACATTCGATGTCGAAACCTATCAAATCAAGTCCGATTGATCTCAAATTTTGCATACAAGTCATAAATGACATAACGGAGCTATGAAAAGTTTTGGAACTAGATTCCGACTCCGATATCAAAAAGTCAATTCTCCGGTCAAACTTTCAAACTTAAATTCCTGTTTTAGCCATTTCAAGTCTAATTTCCCTACGGACTTCCAAATAAAATTCTGATCACGCTCCTTAGTCCAAAATCACTATACGGAGCTGTTGGAATCATCAAAAATTCTATTTCGGGGACGTTTGCACATAATTCGACATCCGGTCACTATTTGAACTTAAACTTTTAATTTTTTTATCAAAATTTCATATCTCGGGCTAGGGACCTCGGAATTTGATTCCGGGCATACGCCCAAGTCCCAAATCACGATACGGACCTACCAGAACTGTCAAAACACTTATCCGAGTTCGTTTGCTCAAAATGTTGACCAAAGCCAACTCATTTGAGTTTTAAAGCTCTAATTCATATTTTAATCTATTATTTCAAATAAAAACATTTCGAAAAATTTTACGGACTGCGCACGCAAGTCGAGTAATGATAAATAGTGCTTTTCGAGATCTTAGAATACAGAATTAATTATTAACTTTAAAAATGACATTGTGGGTCATCACATTCTCATTTGATGATCTCATTTGACTGTCAAAACACTTATCCGAGTTCGTTTGATCAAATAGGTCATCAATACGTGGCAGTGGATACATGTTCTTCACTGTAACCTTGTTCAGCTGGCGGTAATCAATACACATCCACATAGAACCATCCTTCTTCTTCACAAATAAGACAGGAGCACCCCAAGGTGATACAATGGGCAGAATGAAGCCCTTATCAAGTAATTTATGTAACTGTTCTTTTAATTCTTTCAACTCTATTAGGGCCATGCAATATGGTGGAATAGAAATGGGCTGAGTATCCGATAACAAATCAATGCCAAAGTCAATATCCTTGTCGGGTGGCGTACCCAGAAGATCCGCTGGAAATACATCAGAAAAATCTCTTACTACAGGAACTGACTCCACAGTAGGAGTATCAATACTAACATCTCTCACATAGGCCAGCTACGTATCACACCCCTTCTCAACTATTCGTTGAGCTTTAAGAAATGAAATAACCCTGCTAGGAACATGATCCGAGGTACCTCTCCACTCTAGCCGCGGTAGACCTAGCATAGACAACGTCATCATCTTGGCGTAACAATCAAGAATAGCGTGATAGGGCAACAACCAGTCCATGCCCAAAATAATATCGAAATCTACCATACTGAGCAATAATAAATTAGCTCTGGTCTCAAAACCACTGATAACAATTAAACATGATCGATATACACGGTCCAAAATAATAGATTCACCCACGGGTGTAGATACATAAATAGAAGAGCTTAAGGAATCACGTGATACGCCCAAATACGGGGCAAAATAAGAAGAAACATAAGAATAAGTGGAGCCTGGATCAAATAAGACTGATGCATCTCTATGACAGACCGGAATAATACCTGTGATAATAGAATCGTATGCAACGACCTCTGTCCTAGTAGGAAGGGCATAATATATGGCCTGGCCTCCCCCTCTAGGGTGACCTCTACCTGTCCGACCTCCACCTCTAGCTGGCTATGCAGGTGGAGTGGCAACTAGTGCTTTAATCATCGCCTGAGAAGCCTGAGGGCCCTGTAGAATAGGTAGGGCCTGAGAAATCTGTGGAGGTGCACCCCTCATAAATTTGGGGCAATCTCTCATAATATGACGAGTGTCACCACACTCAAAACAATCCCTCAGAGGACGTGGTTGCTGGGACTGGCTCGGGCCTGATCGACTAGACTGCCCGCTGAAAGCACCCCGTACAGGAGGTACAGTAGACATTGGCGGTGCATAATATGGAACCTGAGGTCTAGGAGTAGCCGGAATACCACTAGAAGCTGAAAGTGCTGAATGAATAGGATAACTCACATAACCTCTACCGTGACGGGCTACAACTGGAGGCCTTGGGCACGAGAATTATTATATGTGCCAGAATCTCGGGGTCTCTTAGCTTCCCTCTCTTCCCTCTCCTGAATCCGCATACCTTCTAATCTCCTAGCAATGACACCACATGTTGGTATGTGATGTCCATCTCTAGCTCTCGGGCTATACTGTATCTGATATTAGGGTAGAGACCCTCAATAAATCTGTGAACCCGCTCTCGAACAGTAGCAACCAAGGCTGGTGCATGCCTCGCCAAATTACTGAATCGGATCGCATATTCTAACACGGTCATAGAACCCTGGCGCAACTGCTCAAACTCTGTGCTCATGTATCTCTAAGACTCTGAGGAACATACTCCCTTAAGAACATATCTGAAAATTGAGTCCAAGTGAGTGAAGCTGCCTCAGCCGGACTATCCAACTCATATGCCCGCCACCACTGTTAGGCTGCTCCTCTAAACTGGAATGTCATGAAAGAAACCCCCACTGGAATCCATAATACCCATAGTACGAAGGATACGGTGACATTCCTCCAGAAAACCCTGAGCATCCTCTGAAGCTAAACTGCTAAAAGTGGGAGGGTGGTACTTCTTGTACCTTTCGAGCCTGAGTTGCTCCCCCTCTGAGACTGCTGTCCTAATCTCAGGCCGAAATGGGACAACTGGCTGCACTGTTCTAACCTCTGGGGCATAGTTAACTTGGGCCCGTAGTTCTGGAGTACGGGCGACGGGAGTCTGTGCTCCTCCCCCGACCTGAGATGTGGCAGGAGCAAGTGGAATTAACCATTCCTGAGCTAGAGTGCCAAACATGCTCAAATATTAGGCAAGAGTCTCCTGAAGTGCAGGAGTAGTAACAGGCATCTCGGGTGCCTACTCTCCAACTGGATCTACTAATGGCTCTAGTGCAGCAGCTCGTGCAGGTGCTCTGACTGCACCACGTGGTCTTCCTCGGCCTCTGCCCCGACCCCGGCCTCTTGCAGCTCCAACAGGGGGTGCGGTTGTCTGATCATCGGATCCATTTGTGCGTGTCCTCACCATCTGTGAGAGGATAGAAAGATAATGGTTTAGAACTTTGAAGTCAACAATTACGCACGATAAGGAATCAAAGAAGTGAATATTTTTCCTAGCAGTTCCATAGCCTCTTGAAGATAAGTACAAACGTCTCCGTACCGATCCGCAAGACTCTACTAAACCTGTTTGTGACTCATAACACCTATGAACCTAGTGCTCTGATACCAATTTGTCACGACCCCAAATTCCCTCTGTATGATGTCATGATGGCACCTAGTCTCTAAAACTAGGTAAGCCTATCAATACAGAATAAAAATAAAAATCTAAAATTTTAAATAATTGCAACTCCCAAAACCTAGTAGAAATAAGTCACAAGCTTCTAAGAATTTTATCCTCAATGTCTCTATATATATTAAGGTCTAAAGGAAATAAGGAAGCAACATAATAATGATAGAAGGGGACTCCGGAGTCTGCGGACACTGGAAGATATATCTCGAAGTCTCCGTGTACTGGTGACTCACTGATGCCGGGGATGGTAAGGATTACCTGGATCTGCACGAAAAGATGTGCAGAAGCGTAGTATGAGTACACCATAGCGGTACCCAGTAAGTGCCAAGCCTAACCTCGATAGAGTAGTGACGAGGTCAGGTCAGGCCCTACTGAAAAATAATTTTGATTTATCAAGACAAATTAGGGAGAGGTTTTGAGATTTTGATTTATCAAGACAAAAGCTACTGTAGATTCTAGATGGCTACCTACAACTTGAGCGTAAATGATTGAGTTACTGCATTCTACAATCTACATGTAAGCTTTCCACATAAAGTCTCATAATTTAGCATATTTGTAAGCTTTCCATGTAAAGTCTCATGGCATATCTATATAGCTCTAATTTTAGATATAGTTGAATCTTCGTATCAATATCCATACCTTCAGATCTTAAATTTTAGATCTGAAGGATCAGACCTTTAAATTTATACTCGTATTAAATGCTTGCACCCGAGTCCGAGCAACTTACGGGCTTACTAAGATAGATAGATAGTCCTACCATAGAAAGCCAGAATTTTAGTTGTTGTGTCCACGTGAATTGGCAAGATATAATGAAAGCAACGTTCCTCAATTTCTTATAGTAATGCAGTAGCAAATTTAACCTGAGAATAATGATGGGAAAAACAACTTCGAATGTGTTGTTTTGCCGTGCACACGTGTAGCTTATACTATGGAATATCAATCCCTAAACTTCACTAGTACACCAGACATGACAACGAAACATCAGCACGTGCTATTATGTGGAATCATAAATCATTGTAAAGGAATGGATTATTTAATAAGTCCTTATTAGTTTAGAAATTTCTCATTGAAAAAGAAATGCCAATTATGAATTTTAAGACCTATCTAGTTGGAAATATTTCACAAGATTTAGTAAAAAATATATATATAGATCTTTTGAGTACATTATATATTCATAATCCTCGTTTGTGACCACGTGAGAAAAAGATTGATCTTTTGGAGTTAACTATAGTACTCATCATTTTGATGAAATCAAAATTGACAAGATTTAGTTATGCCGTATTTAAAAGCTTTTGTTTTCACTTTTATGTTTATGTATTATGACATACATGTAAGAATTTATTTATGAAAACAATTACTCCTTTCAAATTATAGTTAGCTTATAACAACTTACTTCAAAATATTAAAAGCAAAAAATGAAACTACTATCCGCTAATGTTTAAATAAGATTAACACATCATTAAACGAAAAAAGAGCATAAAGAAACAGCTTTTATTACTCCTATCATTATTATTGACACAAATTACAACAACAAAAAAGCTCTTGTTTTCAGTGTTTACAAATAGTACTAAAATTGATGACCCCACTCCTCATTTACCCACCTCCCTCCCCCCTCACCTTCCCCACCCCAATTCCCCCCCAATTTCCGGCGTCGGCGTGGAATTACTTTATGGGATCTCCAATTTTCTGAAGTATCTCAAAAGGCCCAATATACCG